TGTGCTGCTGGGCGTGCAGCTCTTAAGTAGCTCGCAAGCCACTCGTCGGCTGCTCCCAAGTAGCGCGCCGCCTAAAGCTCAACAAATCCCGAAAGGCAAACACTTTAGAGCCCCGAAGATCGCTCGAGCTGCGGGCCGTAGGCCCGCGAATCGACAGTGCTCCAAAGTACGGAATTCTGCCTTATGTCTCGAACACAGGCCTGTAGCTATCACAGAGTGGAGAGCTGGAACACCCTCCCTAGAGAGAGGTTTAGGGTTTAGGGTTTAGGGCTCAAGACCACAGCCATGGCTTGGCAGTGGAAGCCGAAGACATGGTGTTCGGAGGCCTGCCTGCAACTCAACGTGCGCCGCTCCAGGCGCCACACCTTCAAAAACAATGCGTGGAGAGCCGGCAAGGCAGCAGACATTTTTTGGGTCCGTGGCCGGGGTTGCTGCCAAGTCCGGCTGTGCGCCGCTCCAGGCGCCACGCCTTCAAAAAGGCGCCATGGGGCCGGCTGTGGGGGTTGAAAAAGGGGGCGCGGCATCTGGAGTGGCGCGGCTGACGCCACGCCCGGCTCTTCTTGCTTGTGGGAATACATTTGGTTGTTGGATAAGACGTGAATCTCAATTTATTTGGAGTTTCTTCGCTTTTAACCCTAAAATTGCTTTTTGAAAGAAGGTTTCAATGATGTTTCCGCTTTGTTCCTTCCTTTTCATTCACACCTCCAATTGGTGAGTCTGGCTTTCCTGTGGCGTTCTATTCATGGTCAGAGAGACGAAGTTTCTATGAAATTTCATTCTCTTGTTCCCTAAAAGCGACTTTGTGCGCAGGTCAAAGTATTGCGGATTGTTAGCCTTGTTTGCTGAGTGGTTGCTAGTTTCGTTTTCGTAGCGTTATGAAACAGCGTGACAACTGGGCATGGCCATTTTACATGCACCAAGTCTTTTTCACATTCCACTTGCCAGTGGATCTTGATTTGTTCTCATGTGTGCCACAGTTGGTGTTTGGCATAATTACATTGGAAAGGAACTATCACTCCGATGATCATCATGTATCACTCCGATGATCATCATGATTGTGGTCGGTTCGCTTCTGGATTTGTGGAGTGAGGCCAGCTTACAAATGTGGTTCATGTTGGAAAAGTAACGAGCAGTCGCGGTGTATTGGAGTTCCCAAGCACGTTGGTGTTATGTTAGCAACCGGGCCGCGGTGTCACTGTTCGGAGAATCCCGCCATACTATGGTGCCCACAACTGGAAGGTTTCAACCGGCAGAATGTCGAGGCGTTCCTACTTCAACAGGTTCGAGTCTACGATTCAGGCGGTAGGGATTCAAGCAACTGTTGCGTGCTTTGTGCCTAGGGTATTTACAAGCTGCCGAAACTGAGGCAAAGAACCCGAAAAACCACTACCCAGAGCAATTTTTATGTTCGGGCGATGTGCAGTTGACGTGATGACGTGCCAAAAGATTTGTGTGACTAATAGCATGCATGCCGTTGGTCCGAAATCTCGACTATTTGAAGTGTGCTGGGTGCACCATGTGTTGAAAGTCCATGCCCCGTGATGATCGTCAATGTGTGAACCTGTGTTAAAACCGGCACGACTTGTTGATTGCGTTGCTGCGTCCTGTTTGCGCATGCAGCAACTGACATTCAAGGTTGTGGTTGCATGAAGCAGGATCTTTATAAATTTGAGCACGCAGCAAACATGCAATGCGGCAAACTGCTGTACCGTAGCATAGTTTTGCAGGCAAGGCTCACATTGCCCCTTCCTTCACCGAGCAGGGAGAAGCCGCCGAAGTTCTCATGCCAATGCCACCAGTCGTCCCTAGCAACGAAAACTACAGGGCACCTTGGCTAAACTCTTTCAGGTGCTTGAGGATGTCTTTTTCGTTCTTTTTGGGCTATCGATGCTGCCTGCTCGCTGAGGACAAGTTCCCGGGTCCGGGTGGAGTCGACATGGACATGGAGCAGTTGTTTCAAGATTTCCGTAAGTTGCAAAGTGCAATGGACACAGTCATGGGTGCGAAGCTTGCGTTAGAGAAGGATTTTGCCAGCCTCCGGCACAAGATGGACTTGAGTGACTCAAGTCCATCGGCACTCAATAGTTTTGAGAAGTTTCCTCCGAGTTTGCTGTCAGTGGCACTGCGGGAAGACTATCCGCCGGAGAACCTGGAGATGGAGTTTGCCGAAGCCTTCCCTAAGCATGGAGAGATGCCAATGCAAGCCATCCCCTCCGACAAGCAGAGGATTCGAGGGACCACCGTGGTGATGCGTGCCGACTCCGGAGCTTCGGCATAGAACTACTATTAATTATTATTATTATTGCTATTATTACTATTATTACTATTATTACTATTATTACTATTATTATTATCATTATTATTATTATTGCTATTATTACTATTATTATTATTATTGCTATTATTACTGTTATTACTATTATTTCTATTATTACTCTTAGTACTATTATTACTAATATTACTAATGTTACTAGGTTACCGTCTCTTCAGAAGCGGTTAGTTGAGGTATACGTGTCCTTTTGTTAGCACTCCGAATTGGTGGTGCGATGCCCCACTCTGTTCGCGGAGTCCACTTGTTCCGGTCGCAAGCATCGCAGTACTCGTCTGTCAGTCTCTTTGCTCCACTGCTTTCAGGATTCCAACAAAATTGCACGAAGGAGCGTGCCTGGTCGTTTCTCACTCAGACTGCACCTGCATTGGTGATTGTGCTCCTTGGCACATAAACAGAACTGTCCAAGATCGTTTTGTTGCTTGAAGCACTCCTGGATGCTGCCGGCTTCGAGGTGTAACACCATTGCGATGGGAATGGCCGTTGACAACATTCCGGACAGTGCTTTCTGGGGCGTTCTAGAGTTACTTTTCGTTTCTCGGCATTTTTGAAGTGGGTGTTTTTGGACATCACCGTTAAGCGGTGTCCCTGTGTCCTTCACCTAGCATATAGATCACGACAGCTTGCTCGACAAGTTGCCAAATGCTCCGTTTTCTTGCTGAAGTAGTGAAAATTTTCAACCCTGCCACCTGAACCTCCACACCCCCAACAGCCAGGCAATTTGCTACCTCCTCGAGTTTATCTACAAGACCCGCACGCAGGGCATGAAGGGCTACTTCATGGGACCCGATTGGAAGTGCCCTTCTGAGGATTAGCATTGCAGTATAGCACAGACTAGTGTAGTAAGTACAGCATAGCGCAGCATAGTATAGTATAGTGTATCATAAAAAATTAGTACAACTTGGTTTAGTATAGTCAATTAGAGGACAGGAAACGACAGGATAGGGAAGGGAACAGGAGCAGGAACAGGAACAGTAAAGTATAGTATAAGGCAATATAGTGTAGTATAGTGTCGTATACCCTAGTACAGTATAGCGTAGTATAGCATAGTATATTATAGTACAATACTGCGCCGGTCCGAAAGTTCGTCGCACTCTATGTTGTCCACATACAAAAAACCTGTCCAAGACCCTTTTCCCCC